TAACATTTTTATATATTAGCATATATATATCATAGAATATATTCATCAATCTGCTTAACAGAAAAAATATTTCTATATTTATCTGAATGAACTTGTTGACAGAAAATTAAAATTCTGACACGTTTTTTACATACTTATATTTTTCGGTAACAGATTAACAAACGTTTTGTCACTCAAACGTGCTGCATTATCGTGTGGCCTTGTATTTTGAAACATTTGCGAGATCGCGTGATTAATCTCTTTTTCCGCCTTTTTGAAGCTTCAAAGAACGTGTTAATACCAGTTTTTAAAATTAACCTTGATTAAGAAGACGTTATTAATAACATATAATGCAAAAATTATTGACATATAATGCAAAATTATTGACCAATACACAAAAATTTATTTTATTACTTTCAATATTTATTGCATTTGATTTGTTTAACGATCAAAAATTTTGAAACAACACAATATAACGTGACGAATATAAATCGCATATAAACAAAAAATATACTCTTCAAAATGCATATATAAATATTTATTTATTTATAAAGACATCTTGAATTTATTCTCAATAGAAGACTCAATAGAAGTATGTCTCTTTAAATAATGATAAAAAAAATACATTAAACGTTTTAAATGTTATAAAAAAGAAAAATTATAAATGGAATTCATAGATACGCAAAATAGGTGCAACAATGAGCTCATATCATGCGTTCGTGTATCACGATATGTGACACGTAATCAGTATATATCAGTATATACTACCCACTATTGCTGCAGTAACCTAGTTCCTTCCAACGAGATAGAAGGTCGAATGCGCTTGTTCATCTAATATTCCTAAAAGCTTCGCATTACTTATTATTGAACAGATATGAAAGAAGCTTAGAAAAGAATTCAATAATAAAGGATCACTCGACGGCTAATCTCTATAATATCGTTCTGGTTCTCTCAGCTTCAAAATGTAAGTTGCTATAAAACAATCTATTTTCATTCAGAAATTCAAAAATCATTAATGTCAATGACGTTCTAATCACATATTTTTTTTATCAATAAAAGAACTAATAAAGAAATAAAAACACAAGTTGCTATTCTGTCAAATCATCTCTAAATAATAATGTAATATTAATCATTACAAAATATTAGATTGTCACTCCGATGAGAGAGAAGATTGACATATAAATTCATTGACAATAATTAAAAATAATATAATGTAGAGACATATAATCTCAAAATAATTACATGCCACATTCTTATTAAGATATGATTTATAATTCGCAATGTGCAACTTGTTATTATGACTATAGTGTTCCTCTTGCGCAGGACGAGTATTATATAACACAATGTAGACGTATATTAGATTAAATTTATATTCTTGTTACAAAGTTTAAGTTGATTTACAGAGCAATATACATGTGCGCGCGCAAAAAATAAACTTGATTACTTTGGAAAAGATTGTTTCAAAATTCTTCTCTTTCTACAGAGAAAGATCAATTATTGAAATATAAATAAAAAGAAGTATTATATTACCATTTTATTGTTCCTACAAATAAATGAAATAAATAAATTAGTGATGCCACATTAATCTTTCGATTCTTTCTAACAAGGGAAGAGATGAAAGTGTCCTTCTCCAATTTTGATGAGCATTGGATATGTATAGTCTAGGTTAAATTAAGAGATACATATTTTTTTATGTATTCTCTAATAATCGTTAAGAGAGTGAAACGTTCTCTCGAGATAGTCGTTTTTTAGATTCCTGAACGAATACTGTCAAAACAGTAAAAGATATAAAAAAGGTTTTACCGTTCTAATGTACTTTATAAAAACCGATTTTTTTTTAAAAGGATATTTCACTCCTTTAATAACCATTAGAAAATAAATAAAAAAATTTCTTTTATTTATAACCTGAACTACGAGATATTCAAAACTCATCAAAATCGAAGAGGGACACTTTCATTTCTTCTCTTGAAGAAGTAAAGTATTTTATTACCTTAACACACACAAAAACTAAAATTCTATATTCATAATAAAAACATTTCTTAATAAATTACTAGTTCTAAAATAAAGTTTTATCAACAATTAATATAAATTATTATTCATTTTGTTGAAAAATAAAAATAAAAATACGACGTACCAATTTAAATAAGAATAATTTTCCTATTGCTCCATTTTAATGTATTCAAATTAATAAAGATTAGTGTGATTGTAATCACACTAAGCTGTATCGCAACTCGCCAACATATATAGCTACATCATAGCAGATATGAAGGGTATTATAACACATAAAAAGAGAATGGTATCGCGCATGTTATAACGCCGGCAGCGACTTATGTTATTCTATTGCGTATTATTCTGTTGAAATATGACCTTCTTGACACATCAGATTTCTTTTATATATAATTTGCAAAAATTTTTTTACCGGTTTATTTAAAACATATGCTGATATTCACAAGATTTCTCTCTTCTTTTTCTCTCTTTCTATATAAAGTTTATTAATGAATTCTTCAGACTAGCATACAGAATAAATCATAATTGCATAAACATTTGAAACAGATTTCTTTTAGTCATCTTTAAAAGAAGTACACATATATTTCTTCACATAAATAGTTTATAAATTCTTTGCGTTGCAAAAAATAATTTATTAAAAGAATTATTCAATAATATTATTAGTAATACAAATTATAACCGAAATTTTTCCTTAATTTTGCAGATCGATATATCAGATAACCATGGTAAAAGCGTACAACGGTGCGTTGGTCCTGGCGGATGTCCTGCTGCTTATTTTGAAGATCCTATATTACATCTGCGAGAGCGTGTATAAATTTTTTGTTCCAACAGAAGAAAAGAGCGTAACCGGTGAGATCGTTTTAGTATGTATCCAGTTTACATTATATGTGCATTACTGATATTGCATATCAAAACTATGTTTGCATATAATATATACATACTATCTTTTGCATTATACATGCAAAAAATTCTTGCGATTTAGTATAATTATTTCTACGTGAAATACAGGCATAAAGTGCAATTATTGCAACTTAAATGCGCATTAATGATGATAAATTGATCGTTAAATGATGAGTTGGACTATCATTAAGCTATGTTTTGAATAATTCTTTTTTTTCTTTTACTAAAAGCTCTTATCGTATGCATATAAATCCATATTCATCGTTTCGTAAAATGAAAAAATAAGTTATGGCATGATTGCAATTCGTTTTATAATTATGTACGTTCTAACATGTTTTTTAATATGAATAACAAATTATAAAAATAATAAAAAATAAATATAATTATTACAAATTTATTTATTATTTATAAATTCGCTCGTAATTAGCTGGTTTTAATGCCCTTCTCTGAATAATATATACATGATTAACACGTTTGTTGCGAAGAATATATTACATAGTTTTTACTTTTTACATGTTTCACTTCTTCAAAAACAGTTTTAAGACAAATTTGGAATGAAGCCAAATTAATACTCCCATTTGCGTATTAAAATAAATGAGATTTAACATTATCTTTGCTTCTGGAAAGCATAATAAGTAATATGAAAAGATATATATATAATAGATATAATAATTATATGTATTACATTTTATTATGCTTATACAGATAACAGGCACGGGTCATGGTATCGGAAAGGAGTTGGCACTCCGTTACGCATCTCTAGGCGCAACCGTAGTATGTTGGGATTTGAATCAACAAGCAAATGAGGAGACATTAAACGAGATAAAAAAGACGGGAACTACTGCAGTATACGCGTATCAGTACGTATCGTTTCTTTTCTACAAAACGCGATAAAATCGAGGAAGACGCTTCTCGCGAAGCGCTATAGTAGAAATTAAAATTCAGTAGGACAGAAATTCGATCGAATTCTAACAGAAGTATCTTTATTTCGTTACACAGTTGCGACGTATCGAAGAGGGAACAGGTCCTTAGTGTAGCCGAGAGAGTAAAAAAAGAAGTCGGTGACGTTACTATTTTGATTAACAATGCTGGTATAATGCCCTGCCACGCCTTCCTTGATCACACGACCGATGAAATTAGACGGATCTTTGACATTAACGTGCTGGCCCACTTCTGGGTAAATTAATAAGAATTAAACACATATGAAAGTTAATTGAATATACATGTACAAATAAACGGCTTTTAAACGTGTGCTGTCTCTTGATAGAAATAATCTGAAATGATTATATATATCTAACACTATATAAAATATTTTTTTATTTGCAACCCATACTATTTACAATGTTATTCGTGTTCTACTGTTTCCATTATTTTCAGATATTGCAAGCGTTTCTACCAAGCATGATCGAGAAAAATCATGGCCACATCGTTGCACTCTCGTCATTGGCAGGACTTAGTGGCCTTCCGAATTTAGTTCCTTATTGCGCTTCGAAATTCGCAGTTAGAGGTGAACAAGCTCATATTCAACTCAATTTTAATATTGCACTTTATGCGTAAACATACTCACGCGCAAAGCAGAAAGATTTCGCATTCTCAACCGTGTCATGTAAATATTGCAGGGCTTATGGAATCGATGAGCGAGGAATTACGATTATCTACCAAAGGGAAATCTTTAATCAAATTCACAACCATTTATCCGTACATGGTGGACACCGGGCTTTGCAAAAAACCAAAAATAAAGTAAGAGTGAAACGTACATACGAGTGAAACGTACATACATACAAAGAATGTACTCATAAAGAATGTTTTGCAATACATGACATGTAATTATGTTTTTATTAATAATAGTACTATATATACTATATGTACTATTACGTACTATAACAAATAATTACGTGCAAGACTGATTCGTAAAATTGAATCTTTCGTGACATATTTTTAAATCACAATGATAGATTACGCGTGGATACGCACAAGAGTATAATTATCTACATATCATTATAACTAGCTATACTTTTTACATGCAGACTAAATTTTTGGATGCGAGGTGAGCTATTGCGATTTTCTTATAACAGAAAAAATCTACGGAACACATGTATGGTGTAAAATAAATTTATAAGCTGTTTATTTTAGGTCGTACAAGTTAAGACCACACGCATTTTTTTAGCATTTTCAGTAAAATTTAAAATAGCATGAAGTTCTTAATAATTTTTTTTTTTATTATCAATAGCAGTAAATATTCTAATTTCAATAGGTTTCCGAATGCCATGCCGTTGGTTTCACCGGAGCAAACAGCTTCAGAAATAATCCGTGCGCAGAGATGCGACTACCGAGAAAGATCTGTGCCTTCACTATGGCTGCCACTGGGCACAGTCTTAAGGTAATCAAATTCTTACAAAATCTTCGAATGTATAAAGATCCTAACAGCGTAAAGAAAATATCCTAAAAAATATCTCAGTGCATTAATATTTGAAGTCACAGTTAATGACATAAAAAAGGCCGTCAAAAATAAACCGATATATCTGTAGACAGAGAGAGAAAAAGAAGAGATACACATAGCAACTGTGAATTTGACTTTTGATCAATTTTATCAATCAATTTTATTATCATATTTATTTAATGAGAAATCAATATGTATATTCAATAATCGTTATTATATAAAATTTCTTCACAATATATTGCGAGTGCCAATTTTCGTTAATATCTGTCACAGTTTCCTAAACAAATGTTAGATAAATAAAGATAAGAAAACCGACGTGTTGAGTATATAAATATTTTCGTTTCAGAATTTTTCCCGACAATGCTTTACGCATCTTGATAGACTTCTTCGATAGCGGCGTCGAGGCGGTGAGCTAACAGATGCAAGAAACGCTCATACAACTAAAAAAAAAAAAAAAAAATGTGAATAAAATTTTTTATACAATTATACATAAAATCCTTTATGTTACCAAATTTTTTATAAGATAAAATATAAGCCAAAATTGCCAACAGTTTTTATATTGTTAGTACATTCGAAGTAAGACATTTAGTTGTCTTTCTTTCTTTTTCCGATACTGTTACCACTATATATATATATATATATGAGTAAAAATAATTATTTTAATTAATTAATCGTAAATAATTAATTGTTGTAAAGGTAATGTGCGTAAACGTGCAAGTGTAGATGTTTTATACCCTAAGCAACGTAAGTATTGTAAGTAGATCTTTTGTAAAATGTATCTCGAAAGAAACTGCGTAAAAATGCTTTATCGTATTTTAATAACATGAGTGTATGCATCAATTTCGTAAACAATAATATTTCGTTCTGTGAAATTAATAACCAAAATATGATATACACGTAATGATATAAATCGCGCATAATCTGTTATTTATAAAACCAATTCAATAATTTTCCGAACATTACTGCTCATACTTGTGTGTATTGTTACTTAATAAGTTACTTATAAGATATATACACTAGCAATCCACATTATGTGACAGAACATAATATAATATACATTATATATATAAAATTGCTTGCAAATTGCTATTTGCGAATTGCATGTTCAATAATATAATGCGTATTTCTTATCAATAATATAAGCCCGCTCTTCAGAAGATTAATAATTTGGCGTACTCAGATTTCAATCTAGCGCTATCATTGCATATAACTATAGAAAGTAAAAAAACGGAGATAAAAGATTATATGAAAGTCAATTATATATGATATATAAATAACATATCCATATTGTACGCACATACTTTAAGTTTAAGGGAATTTATTCGATCAAAGCTGCAGGCGTAATTTCGATACAATATTCAACGATACAAATGCTATATCGACATCCGAGTTTATATCTAATTTGTCTATTATATTTACACTGTATTTTTCTGCTAAATAAATTAAATTTCAAAACATTAGAAATATTATAAAAATAAAAGATTACAAATGTTTAGTAAAAATTGTTAAGTAATAGACATAGAAAATATAGAGACCGAGCATAAACTCGTGGTTTAGGCGAGGGGAGTGAAGCCGCTGCGGGACGATGCGACGAGGTAAACTGTGCCTAAATTTGATTGGCTGTTATACTGCGCAAGTTCACGTCAGTGATATTCGTGTCGTTGGCGGCTGTCAAATATATAATTATTACACATATTTTGACAGTATTTGTCTATATGTTAAAGAAATTTGTCAGAAATAAAATATATTAATATATAAATATATAAATATATAAAATGTATAAACGTGGATAATAGGACATATATTCATATAAACAGTTTTGCTTAAAATGACCGATACGATCACCTCCCAGAATATTGACCTTTTCTCCTGGAACACCCTGTATATTAATATATATTGATAATATTTATTTATTCAATAAATATTATCAATATTTATTATAAATATTGGATATTATTAAGTATTAAATAATAAATATTAAATATTAAATGTTTAATAATAAACATCAAATATTATAATTATATTAATATTATTATTATTAATTTAGGCACAATTTATCTCGTCGCACCGTCCCGCAGTGGTTTCCTCCCCTCAATGATATGCTCGGTCCCTGTATTTCTATGTCTATGGTAATTACATAAGGACTCTATTCCGTAACCTTTAACGATGTCGTTAGATACCATTGCGCAACTGTTTTTCAATGTTTTTGTTGCGCAATGATACGTAACAATATCGTTAAAAGTTACAGAAAAGAATTAAAAATTATTGGTTTTTATAATTTCTGTTTCTATAATTATAATACTCATGCTTTTCGTATCAAATTTGAGCGATTGCTAGAAAATATGACAGAACAAAAATAAAATCTGTTTCTATTTCTAATTGTCTAATATTGTTTAATATAAAAAAATAAAAACATAATCCTTAGTTAATCATATATTAAAAATGTGAGCTTTTTTTATTCTAATAAAAGTAGAATATAAAACATAATTATAAAGATAATATGATATTGTAAGTTCTCTTTTTTAAGAAGACTAAGTAAATTATACATAATAGAATTGAATAAATGATGATATAACTCAATCAAAAATATTTTTAATTTTTTTATTTTGTTTCACTGTCTTCTATAGTTTTTTGCATAGTACATCAACTCAAAAAATAATATTGTTAGAAAAATCTCTTTATAAAATTGATATAATTTGTTATTTTCAACTATATGACGAGTTATACAGGATGTCCCATTTTAAACAGTCGAACCGAATATCTCGAAAACTGAGCCCGATAGACAAAAATGTTTCAGACAAAAGTTGCATGGTTTCCAAGGGGCCATGTGATGAAAATATGGACTTGACTTTGAGTGATCTTTTCAAGACCAAGTCAATGTGATCAATGTTTTCTTAAATGGAACTCCCCATTTTTATTGCATATTCTTATAGCTTACCTCGAGAGCTTTTCAAAACACTATAATAAAGTATTTTTTCTTTAATTACTTTTCGAGTTATTTTATATCTTAATCTAACATATTTTGATATAAAAAATAAAATATCTCGTGAAATATTCAGTTTTCGATAATCTTACCGTGATACTTTTATGTATAGAATAATGAGACAAATCAAATAGCGTAAAAAAAAAAAAAATAATTGTTTAAAAAAATACATTGTAAATAATTGCATACTTTTTCTTAAAAACAATTATTTTTGTTATACTAATTGATTGGTCTCATTATTCTATACATAAAAGTTATGGTAAGATTATCGAAAACTAAATATTTTACGAGATATTTTATTTTTTATATCAAAATATGTCTATCACGTTTTTGTCTATCGGGCTCAATTTTCGAGATATTCGGTTCGACTGTTTAAAATGGGACATCCTGTATAACTCAATATCACATATTATACTGTTAGAATTCAATGCAAGACTTTCAAAATATATATAGAAAATCAAAATCGTTATTTTAAAATTTCGAATATATATTTTAATTGCTATTTCTTTTAAATTTCTAATACACATCTCTTGTTATTCCCTAAGTAATTTTCTTTAGCAGAAATTCATACATGATTAATTTATAATGACAAAACTGTTCAAAAGACTTGAGCAATCCTATCTTTATAAATATGTAGGAACGTATACATAACACATATCCACTACCTTAAGATTGGAAGCGACTCTCACGAGAGCGATAGTCCATTTCTGGACATTCGCCAGAGAATATCGACGAGAACTCACCTTCGCTTTTACCTGAGAAGACTAACACCCAACTTTGACTGAATAGAACAGAAAAAAATAGTTATTTAAACGATAAGTGCACGATAAAGGATAACCTTCAACTAGCCGATCGATTGTCCTGAACACTATAATCAGGTAAATATAGACGAGTTTATCATAATCGTGTTCGTCAGTTCTTAGTTTTGTTCGTGCAAAGAAACACGTTTATATTCTAAACATGCCGTTCATAAAAATTATATTTTTTTAAATCTTGTTTTTTTTTCCTGTTTCATCTAGCTAGGAAATCCGGTTAACTTTTTCGACAACAATACGTAAATCTTTTTTACAAGCAATTTAAGTCAGTTGCGTAACATTCCCATTCCATTATAATTCCTTTTCACGCACACATCTTCAAAAGTAACGGTAAGTGAGCTCACATATTCAAAAAAACGTTTCAAATTAAAATTACTCTGTTCCAAAGAAGAAATCTTAATGAGTAGTTAAACATCGTAGTCAGCAGTTTTATTTCAGAAAAAGACGTTTCTAAAATTCGAAAATATCTCTCTATTTTTTAAAATAAAATAAGTTATATTATATTATATTATAGAATAAGTTAATTTGAAAGGTTTTGTTAAATGTTCAATACTTTTGGAGATATACATGATCAATCTTGCATTCGATATTTTTGCAAACTACATATTTTTCCAAAAATGTGACATATAAATCATTTTATAAAATCTTGATCTTTTATACCGGGATACGTAAATAAACTATAAATAAAAACTTTAGAAGAGAGTTAATAATATTCATCGAGGCAAACAAAAAGTTTTACAAGAATAATAATATTTTTAAAGATATTCAAAGTTATTTTATAGAACTTCTAATAATATACATATCTCCATTTAGAGAGATTTATAAATTATAAAATTAAATATGCCGATAAAACAAACAGATTTGAAATATATGTTTTTAAAAACATTTTAATATATCGTTCAATGAATTCTCTATAGCAGCTCCTAAAATTTGTATACTTTCATTTAATCATATACCCTCGATACATCCGTATAAAAAAATTATTAATTTTTTACAGTGCACCATGATTATCTTACACAAGATTATATATATCTTGGCAAATATATCACGACTTTCTCTGCAAATTCTTTACTACATCTGTGAGAGCATATATTACAAAATATTTGGATTACAGAAAAAGAGCGTGGCTGGTGAGATTGTTTTGGTACGTACAAAATGTGTACATGTGATGTAGATGCATTAAAAACTCGCGTAATCAAAGAGAGAAATATTAATTTTTAAAAAACTTGAAATTGATAAAGACAGTGCAAAAATATTGCAGTGTGAATATATTGATTTATCTATTTATCTATTGACGAACACACAATTAATATTAATTACTAAAAAAAAATTTCCGTGTGCTATTATTGTTTCATGTGCAACTGTAAAAAAATTTTCTTTTTAATAATCTTAAATCATATTCATTATATTTCGCTACAAATAGAAAAAGTTTGTTCGGAAAGTGCCATACTAAAAAGATAAAAATAATAAATAGTTATTTAAAAAGAAACTCGTACGACTTTGCGCTTCTGATATTAAATTCGATGCATAACTAATAATAAATAAACATTCTTAAGAGTTTATGATATTACATTATACGACACAAATTGAAAAGAGCACAAGAATTTCATTGTGTGTATAATAGTTAGTCCCGTTTCTCTATATACTATATATTATATTGCAATAGATAACAGGTGCAGGTCACGGTATAGGCAAAGAGTTGGCGATTCAATACGCGCTTTTAGGTGCAATAGTTGTATGCATAGATGTGAATCAACAATCAAATGAGAAGGTGGCAAACGAAATCAAGGAAATCAAGAAAACTTCGGTATATACGTATCAGTACGTTTTGCTCTCTTTTACAATAGCGTTATTTATTTCTTACATATCATGATCAAAGGATCTGGTCATTATTTTGTTACGCTTATAATGGTCAAAATTGCTTTAACTTGGCAGAATATAAAGACAGTTTTGTTATCATATGATATATGTATATTGTATATATAGGATGAGTTTTTTAAATTGAGACACTTAAATATCTCGAGAACAACGCATTTTTGAAAAGAAAGTTTGAAATAAAAGTTGTTTGGTTTTGGAAGACAAACATAACAGCAATATAATATATTTCTGATTCGGTGGATGTTTTCAAGATTATTTTAAGATCAAGTTTATATAATCGTACGATCGATACTTTTAATATCTCTCTACAGATGTGATGTATCTAATAGAAAACAAGTTTTCGAAGTAGCTAAAAAAATAAAACAGGAAATCGGTGATGTTACCGTTTTAATTAATAATGCCGGTATAATGCCTTGCCACAAATTCCTGGATTACATAAGCGATCAGATCACACGAGTCTTTGACATCAATGTATTAGCACATATTTGGGTAAGAATTCAGATTATGACCATATACAAATATTAAATTAGCTTTTGCTTTTGAAAGAATATTATTTTCGTTTTATGTTTTCGGGTAATATAATTATAGTACTCGGGAACTATATCATGATACAAAAATTAACTCAATAAATTTAATTAAATTTGATTAAATTAAATTTAGTTTAATTTAATCAATAAATTAAATTTAACTCAATATCGTTGCTTATATTTGAAAAATATGTATGGTGGACATAATATATATTATTCGTCTTCACGAACTAATATTCAATTGTTTCCAGATGTTAGAAGCATTTCTACCAAGCATGATAGAAAAAAATCATGGTCATATCGTTGCGCTCTCGTCGCTAGCTGGACTTGCAGGGGTTCCTTATTTAGTGCCTTATAGCGCTACAAAATTTGCAGTCAAAGGTAAATTTTTTTATGATTTCGACATTATAAGATTTTCTTTTCAATAATTTCATTCGAAATAATTGGCCCAATTTGAAAAACCTTGCTTTCACAAACGTTATTTTTGAGGTCTTATGGAAACGCTTGAACAGGAGTTACGAACATCTAGCCAGGGAAAATCTTTAATTAAATTCTCTACCATTTATCCTTACATGTCAGATACGGGACTTTGCAAAAAGCCAAAAGTAAATAAAATGTAAGTTTAAGACGAAATTAATACAACAAATGAGCATATGCAATCGCAAACGCAGATGTAAAAAACTCGCTTATTTCTAAATAAATAATTAATATTTCTGTTTCACTTTTCTTCCAGGCTTTCAAGCTTTATGCCATTAAATACGTCACAATATGTAGCTGCAGAAATAATTAATGCTCAACGGCAAAACGTATGCAATCTGACTGTACCATCATTTTGGTTATTATGCTTTTCATTAATTAGGTAACTAAAATGCGGTATTTATAGTGATAAATTTGTAAATTTGTATGTGCAAAATATGCAAAAACGTAAATTGTGCAGTATTTAGTATATCACATTTGTCTTAAAGTCGACAACCACATCAAATTTTCTATATGAGAATAAAAATTAATTTTTATTATGTGTGTGTGTGTGTGTAGTATGTATAACAAAAAATTTATATAATTTATTAAGTATATACAATAAATTAAAACATAATCCTGCATTTTGCAATTTTGGATATTATATTTTGAATTATTTTAGGTATATATTAAAATATATAGAGATTGTTTATAATATAACTTAATTTTTTCAGATTTTTGCCCGAAAAGGCACAAAACAAAGTAAGAGATTTTCTGGACGCTTATGTTGAACCAGAGAATTAATTAATATAAAAATTGCGCAATTGCGTATCAAATTTTCGAAGATATATGAAAAAAAACAGAAGCCATACGCGATACAACTATATCTATTTTTTTGAATATTACTGTATTGTATTTTATTGTATTTTTTATTTTATCATATATCGCATTTATCGTATTTTGTACTTATTTTGTGTTTCTATCTCCTATCTTATTGTTATAATATGTGTGTTACATTACATTACTTATAAAAAACTTATTAATGTTCATATATAAGATAATAAATATATATAATCATTTTTAAAATACTGATATATATATAAATATATAAAATTCCAAGATAAAAAAAGTTGAAATTTATTCCTGTAGTATGTGCGTGTGTAGAAAGAGAGGTAATATATATATAAATGCTAAAAATATTAAAAATTTTATATCATAAAGAATGAGTAGAAGAATTCGTTTCTGGCTGTCTTAGATAGATATGCATAAGCATTAGCAAATATGCTATTTATAAAGCATAGCTTTATGGCAAATTATACAAAATATATACATACACTGCATAATATACAATATAGTATATGATGAGCATACATACACTGTATAATATACAATATAGTATATGAAAACATTTTCTGCACTAATGTATTGGAAAATCGAGTTGTAAAATATGATTAAAAATTTTATCGAGACAATCAAAACCTTTCGAACCAACTTTTGCGCCAGCAATACAGCATGCAAATTTGATAGCTCTTTGTAAAACTATTTCATCAATAAATTTTGTTCGATTACATTCCAAATTTTCTATACAGATATTCTTTTGTTTAATACTTCGTCTAACTACCGTGCTATCATCAATAGTGTTATCCCCCAATTTATTAATATCATTCGCTTCCTCATCTTTATATTTACGCATAAGTTCTACTTTGCTCTTATTTAAATAATATAGAACAGCTGCGTTAAATGTATCACCTGCCCCTAAAGTATCGATCACCTTATGAGGTGGGAAAGCTGGAGATTGTACTATCGTACCACAAGGAGTACGAGCAATTGCACCTTCCTCTGCCCAAGCACAAATAATAGCCCCTCTAGAAAAATATTTATCTCTCAGCACTGTAATATTTCATATATAAACTCTAAAAAATAATTTGTGTTTCTTACCTAAGTCTGGCATCTTGGCCAATGGTATGTATTACCTCCTTCATATTGTTAAAACCTTGGTTCTTAGCAAAATCTTTTGCTATAAATGCTACGTCAGTATATGACAACAGATCCAATAATCTGGGACCTGATCTGGGACTTTCTAGTTCCACACTAATCATAATTGGCATACGTTTCTTACTGTGATTATTTGTACCATTTAATGAGTTATTATAATTTTCTATACGTTGTATCATAAGCAACATTTCATCTATATTTCTTCCCTAATAACATGAAATGTTGTAATTGTTTCGCTACATAAAAATTTATTGTTTACATTATGAAACATACTTCAAAGTGAATCCAGCTGTATTCTGCTAAATTTAGTTGTTCAAAGTTCTTTACTGTCAATTCTGGTAAATTTTGATTGTGGTATACAATTGTACGAGTTCCAGTATTTAAACTCAATATAATTGTTGCGGTAGGACAGCCAATGCCTTCTATCATAGGACAGTGAGAATAGTCAATTTTATATTTACGCAGATCATTTTGCATAAAATTGACATGCTCATCTGCACTTAGACAAGCCAGAAACTCGCATGACTGTCCTAGCAACGATAGTACAGTACAAGTGTTTGATGCATTGCCCCCTCTTTGCCATCTATAGTCAATAGATCTGAAAATTATATTAATAATAAAAAATAAAAATAATAAAATAA